TGTGAAACAGCCACGACGACGGCATGAAGACGTCTGGATATTGCCCCTGAATGCGCTTTTTGAGTGAAACGTGCGTCAAGTGTGTCGTTTCGGATTTTGAGTTCGACGTGGGACTGCCCAGAAAGGTTGGCCACGGGAAGACGCAGAGACGAGTCTCGACTTGTTCTCAGTGACTCAGTTTTAGCGATTGAGGTGCCCATTTACCGACACTCTGGTGTTCAAAACACGTCTTCTACAAACTCTTAAAATTGTCTCGTTAAAAAAAAAAAAAACAAAAAAAAAAAACGAGGGCGAAAGTGTTAGTATTTCGAGGTGTTGCGTTTGGATAATTGCTCATTGTTTGGGCGAAGGCGTATTACGTCAAAGAAACTTGTCAAATGTCAACACATCATTGTTGACCAGGTAGTTCGGTGAATGCCAGTGAACACATTCGTTAACTTGCATTCAAACAACGCGTGGAGCTCTAGCATGTGATGTCTAAACGACCGTTGCACATAAAAAAAGTATACAGTTTTGTTTGGGTTCGGTCAATACTTTCAGCCGTGCTGGGCTGAGTCGCGCCGATCCCAACGCCAAAGAGAAGCGAAATATCAGCTGTCTTCCTGGCAAGCATTTCGTTTGCCTTCGGGGACTAAAACGTACAGGTGCACCCTGTCTGAGGGAGACTAATGGCTTCTTTTGCTTGAGCATGCCTCTTGGTTAGTCCCAGTCGAGCGCAGTCAGTCCCCAGTTTTGGCGCACGATACCTTGCTTGAACCAGACGGTCTTTTCGGGGAGCAACCGGAAGCTCAAAGGGCCACATGCTGCCGTTGGACATTTGAGACCATTTTTTTTTCTTAGAGTGTACAAATATGCTCCAAAACCAGCAAGTATTAACAACTTCTACCACCAAATGCGTGCCAAGTACTGACCACAAGCATGGAAACGATGCTCCCCGAGTGCCTGCAAGCACTTTTGCCTAAATGGTTGGACGTCATATGCAAGCCATCTACAGAAGACAACAAAAACTCACTTTATCTAACAACAGGATCTCTACAAATTCAGACGCATCAATTGGACAATAGCAAAACAGTGGTGATGCAGTGTTGAGTGGTCTATGCAGGGCCGGATTAACGTACGGGCTAGAGAGGCTGCAGCCCAGATCCCCAGGCTGCCGGGGTGCGACGTGCTAACCCCTTAAAATTGGAAAAAAATATCGATTTGGTTTTAGTTTAAAACAGTTCAGACCTAAAGGAGAAAGAAAACTAAGAGGAGCCTTTGGGCCCCTGGCTTTCAAATGTCGTCGTCGTCGTCATCGTCGTCGTCCCCCCCCCCCCCCCCCCCCCCTTTTCCGGGTCTCTTTTTTTTTTTTTTCTTCGGGGTAACAGGGATGCCAAAAAGTTCCCTTCTCTAGACGACATGGTGTTGGTGAGCTCGTTGTAAATGATTGTGACAGAGCGAAAAATTGTAAGCGTTGCCTCCCACCCTGCTTGTCGGACGGAGCAAAGCCGTCGACGCTGGCAGTCCCGTTGAAGGCTCTTCTAATTGAAGCCAGACGGAAAGACGGCCACGGACGGCTACAGACAAGCGTGGGTTGGTAGGAAACAAGTGTTGCCGAAAGCTGCACGAGCAGTATACATGCTGCATATTATTCTTGTTTATTTTTTTATCTTTTAGCGTAGTTCCCAATGTAAAGTTTCCTCCGAAACGACAAGTTTAAAACAAGCAAAAATGCATATCGCTGAACGTCGCGAAGCCATCCTTTGTAACCACCAACACGCGTTTCAAAGAGCCGGCTTTTGAGATGTCCCCCAAGGGTTTTCGAGAGACAGTGACTGCAACCAATTGCCCTGGAGCCTGGGTCTCTGCCAGTGCGAGACAACACTTTTCCTGCCATCAAGTGATATGATCGCTGCAATCTTTATAGAAGCCTATGAGGTATTACTAATTATTATTCGTTGCTAGAATAATACCTCCAAACGGCTACCAAGTTCTAAATTACTGCAAGTAGTAGAATCAAGACCACTTCCAAAACTAATTGAAAGATTTCCCCCTTAAGATAGAAATCATGTAGGAAAAGAGTTTGAAAATATCTCCTTGATATTCATGAGAATTATGCCTGTGAATGTGGCCAAATACAGTGGTTGCGACATTACGATCACATTCAGTTTTAATTATTTGTTTATTTATTTGAATGCAGAAGTCAGTTAGTTTGGGACACGATAGTTCAGTTATTAGGAGAAGGTGAACGAAGCGGTTTGCGCTCTAAATACTTTAACCACCACCCAGGCAGCACAAAAATATTGGACCAATAACGGACAAATATCGGTCAAAGTTTTAGGAAATAACGGTCCAATAATGATTTGCACCCCGGCTCCAGATCGGTCCAATAACTTGAACCGATCACGGGGAAAGTTTTGAGACCGATATCGCCAACCGTTTTGTGACCGATGTCGACAACCGTTTTTCGGCCGTCTTTCGAAACCGTTTTACAGCCGTCTTTCAAAATGTTTGTGGCCGTTATCGTTGAACCATTTTGGGATTTAAATGTCTTCTTGAAATACGTAAGAATGCGAATGACGTACTACGACATCAAATGTGAAACTCTCTATTTTCAATGAAAACGGATGTTTCATTTTAGTGGGAATTGGAGATGTCTGACCATCTTCGACTTCGACAAGGGGTATAGGAGCACTGCAAAAAAATTTCACTAAATTTTATGGGTAAAAGTTGCGGGTTCCATAGTGCCAGCATGGTTTCCCGTAATCTAGAAACCGAACAGTCTGTTAAAAACAAGGCATATAATTTTGTAAAATGACGGAACGTCTATATTCCATTTAGCAGACAGTTATCCGTTTTCCCATTTTATTGGTAAAAGTTGCGGGTTTTATATTGCCGGCAAGATTTCCCGTAATCTAGAAACTGGACAGTCTGTAAAAACAAGGCACATAATTTCGTAAAATGACGGAATGTCTGTAGCTCACTACGGAGGGCTATCCGTAGGAATTATGAAAGCTGTCGGCACTAAATAATGAAGCACTATACCTTTCGGCCTTAGATAAGGCCAAAGTTACGAGCCATTCGTACCACCCGCACCTCCGATACATCAGGCGACTCCCCTGGAAGGGCTATACCTTTGCCAGGGGTGTCACCTGACGTATCGGAGGTGCAGGATTGTTGCGGATGGCTCGTAGCTACGGGCTTCAAGAAGACAGAAAGGTATAGTGCTCCGTTATTTAGTGCAAACAGCTTCCATGTTCAAGCAAGCCGAAGTCACATGAAACTTTTGAGGTATGGATTGGAATGGAGAGTTCATAGGCACTGTCATTCAATATACTAACTTGAATAATTTTTTATCCTTACCTAAAACAACAAGAGTTCAACAAGAAAAAGAGCACACAACCTCTACTACTCATTGCCAGGATTTTGTTTGTGTGAGATCAGCTGCTCGTAGAGATGACAGCTGAACAAACGAACCAATTAAGAAGTTTTGCCACAATGCCTTTATTGGAAGAAGGCATGCCTTGCTTTAAGTTGGGAGAAATTTTACATTACAGTTGTCCTTGCGCTCGCCATCTAGATGCCCCTCCATGCTTGTGCTTATAGTTGTCCTTCAATTGGAGACCTCTTCGATATCTTCATGGTGCATATAAGAGCAGCCTGAAATAAAGAGCAGAAGAGGATTCGAAATCAATACACAATCACAACAAGCTGTATATGACATACATGGTTAACATCAGCAAGCAACGTGTTTACTACCTAGCCCAGCTCCCCACCTTTCTACTGCACATGATATATAAAACAAACCTCCCATAAATTGAACCAAAGTAAAAACTTGCATTGATTTGAATACCCAACACAACAGGTGCTTGAGAAATAAAACTAGCAAATTAAAATTTGCATAACCATTCAGTGATATTAAGCACAATCAAGTGAGCCATATCTCCTATAGAATATGCAGTAGGCTCGCGATAATTCAAACTCGGAGATTTAATACCTCTGGTTAAGTCAAACAAATTTCAAAACTTGGGCTGTCCCGCTACGTTTTCAATGTATTCATAAGCCGCTTAATTTGAACGACGGTTTCGTGTAATTCATACTTTTTGTTCTCGCGGCCCCGTTGAGTGCACTTCTTTCCGAGCACCGGTGCACTGCGGAGAAGCAGC